GTGTACGCAGTATCTTGATATTTTTGAGAGTGTACGCGGTATCATATGTCGATTTTCTGTAAAAAGTGCGTTTTAAGTCATTTTGCGTACAAAGGAAAAAGAACGATGATTAAAAATATATTTTTGAAATAGATTCTACAATAAACTTACTTCCAGCCGTCTGAAACTTAAAGTTTTATCGACAATTACTCAATTTCTGTAACATTTCAAAGCCGGGCGTACGCAGTATCTAGAATCAAAATCGCATTCAACGCGGAAGAGTTATGTCAATGCATCTGGAATACAAAAACCAGAAGTAAGGATATTTTCTTTGCAAAGGAAATTAAATTCAAATCTATTCTGATTGCTTTACATGACTCGTTTTTGTTCGAAATACCGGTTGATAAAGTGTTCGCGGTATCAGAATTTAGGTGATGCGCGCGCATGGTATGACCCCCTTGAAAGCTATATCAGACTCGGCTAAATGCCTCATCTAATAAAGATTAAACAGCTGTGTAGGTTTTTAAGATCTTCTACAAACGTATTGTTTTCTCTTACAAAAACATCTTAATCAATATTTTTCTTTCATGGAAATAACTGAACACTTCCTGGAATAAGCAATCTTAATCACACGTGGTGCTTTTATATGAACAGATTGCACAAAGATGATGGAAGGAAACGGAGTGCAAACGTATTAAGATATGTTCATTCCAGCCGTGATACAAATGTGCTTTAAAAAGAAAATTTTTATCACTATAAGAAAGTTACGTAAAGTAATTAAGCTATCGCATCTGTTACTGATAAACATATATTTAAGTGACACACTTAATGTTAAAACTATTATCTCTATTGTATCAAACTGAAAACAATGGCGATATATTCACAGCTGTTTTGCAAAAAAATAGACGACTTAAGTAAACAGCTATGTAATTATGTAATTAAAAAGCCATTAATCAAACTAGTGACAAACCATTTGCAACATCTTTCTTATTTCAATAATGTTATAAAAAGTAAAATTTTAATGTGAATTAATACATGTTACCAAATATATGTTACATCAAAATCATTTCTGAGCTTTTCTAAGAATTGCGAAATAAATTGGTATTCCTTATCTCTTGGGTTTACCATTTCATAAACGTTAGGCTTTATATGAAAATAAATGAAAAAACAATTGAATTTTAAGAATAATGTATCTTGAACTGTCTTTAAAAAAAGTATTTGGCCGAAATCTGGTAATGAGTGAGGATGAAATTTTCAGTCAGATACTAAGAATTAAGTTCAGATTGTGTTTTTTTCACGACATGGCATAGTATATAATTATAGTAATGACTCTTCCGTTTACAGGTAACCACGTTAACTTGATAATTTGCTGTTTTCAAACATCTGGCCATCTAGGCTGCATATCAGGAACAAATCTAATTATTTTTTTTCCGGAAACCTCGACCTTGTGTTTTAAAACCTTAAATACTATTGTACCAGAGAGAAAAAACTAAATCAGAATATGAAAGAGAGAGCTTCCTGATATTGTTTTGTGTGGGACATTGTTTAGCCATTTGGAGCTCAGAAGTTAACGTGGCTCCCTTACACCCTTTTATTTTCACCCTTTTATTTTATCTTAACCTTTTTTTTAGGATAAGAGGCGCATCTGCTTAAATAATTGATTTGTTTATTTCACCAAAGCGAACGAATAATGAATGTAAATGAAAAAGAGTGAGGGATCATAAATTGACCCCATTGGAGCACCAAATATTACAGTATGAAGGACACGGTATACACGATGACATCATGTCATAAGCTTTTTTATCGGTAGCCTCTGTAGATGTGTATATAATTATATATCATTAGGGGTCTTTTTTTCTGACCCGATACGGGGGACCTTGTGTCGAGAAGGCACTTAATAACCAAATGGTGGTACTAGTTGAATAACGATGTTAGTATTTTATCTTAATTATAACTGGGAGTCAACTCAAATGTCATAATATAAATTATAAAAGGGTACATCGACTTACGTGACGGAAAAAGTGATGCAGTATACAAAGTATGTGAAGTTAATTAATATACATTTATCCGAATTTCCAATAAGTCACAAAACCAAGATTTCGAAAGTGTGCCATAAAACTTACAGCTGCCGACACAATCGAATTAAAATAAATTATGTATACACCCAAATCAAGTTTAGTATTTCAATTTTGCTATATTTAATACATGAATTGTAAGAATATTGTATTGATCTTTATCTAACCCATATATCAAAATTTATACATTTATAATTCAATAATAAATAAAAATAAATCGCTATATTTACCAAGAAAGAATTTCAATCACGTGCTGCACGTGAAAATATAACTTTTATCAATACAATAATAAGTACAATATTTCCTGACTATTAGTATTTGATTATAAAAATCAACAACATAAAATATGACAAAAAATATCAATACAAAGAGGTGTCAAACCATGGGAATTTGGGTCGCCAGAATGTCTTCACGCCCGGTAAAGTGGCTGTTCATACATGCGGTAATAGTAATTTCTAATTCATTTGGAAAATTCTACCGTTTGTTATATGTTTTATATGATAACAATTCAAAACAATTTTGATTAGCGTAATTGATGGACCTTCATCACATATAGACATGATTTTAGCGTTTTCAATGGAGAAGTTGACACGCAATTTACCCATACAGACGGGTCATTTGCTCTCCTTTACAGCGAAACTGGCATTCACTTTCATGTTACAGATGCACTGACATTGATCACCACTCAACATAGCCTATACGTAAAGGATGTTATCAAAGAATATAAAAGTAATCCTTCGACAACGATCTTTATCCGTTTATTTTAATTTTATATGGATGTCATTTCCGCAAGAATAAAAATGCAAACTAATAACAGATTTGTTTTGATTTTTTTTTTAATCAGCGCTTAACTATGTTTCATACATTATAAAATGTTACATTGTCAGATGAATAAGTCTTTTTTTTAATAATCCTCAAAACGAATTATTTCTTAAAGGAGTTTATGATTTTTTTTTCAAGTTTGCCTGTTTTTCCCCCCTTCAACAAATGTGCCGGTATTTCCCCTTCTTTTGGATCTATCGTTGAGGAACATTTCACCCCATGAAGACCGAAATGTTCCAACTCTTAGCATTTCTTAATCCAAACACAAAATGAATATGAGGAAGGCTCCTTTCATTTTACTATAATTGAGACACAAAAAGAAGGTTAAGATAATGTCATTGACTTCAGAAAAATCTTCTATCAAATGACTTTAAGTATGATTTTTGTTGAATTCCCTGTCAGGAGGCTTTGTTCTCTACTCAACTTCTTTTCCCTATAAATTCTAAATGATTTAAATTATCAAGAAAAGCACCAATGAATGAAAATTTAAAACATTTCATATGTTAAAATGCAAAACAAATCACCTGACAAATAGCAAGGCCAATGCTAAAATGTATGTAGTCAATTTTGAATGTCCATTGTAACAATTCATGAAAAGCAAACAGTTGCCTTAAATATCATTTCCCTTTATTTTCATTTGTACTAGATTTTTAGTTTTTTTTATAAAGCTATTTTTTTAAATGGTGTTTCACAATTCAATAGCATACATTGTATCATCAAAGCTGCAACATATTGTCATAAAACAATAGTTATAAGAGCACATTATATGCTGCAATGACTTTTTAACATGAACACATGTTCCTTTCTTCTAAATTGTGTCTTTTTATATCTGTTGAACGCAATTCAGAAAGAAATACCACACACGCTGTTAAACATGAACATCAACATATCATTAAAGATAGTAATATGATTTTACTCAAATATTTTTCTTTTCCAAGAAAAAAAATCAAACATTTTGCATCAAACTCTTTGATAAGATTTGTGCTTATACAATATCGATAAAGGATATATATTTTTAACTTTCAAACGAATTTGCTGGGATTATTAACTTTACTTGTTTTATTTTCTTGAAGAGTGTATTTTTTATTTTTGAAAGATATTCTAGATTTTATTATACTGAAGTATAACTTAATATGTTTGATTTTGACATTGTACATAAATATTTTCTATTTAGAATATTCTATTACATTTTCAATTTACAGATTATGTAAGATTACTTATTCTATTTTAAGAAATGTTTTGAATCACCTTAATAAGTCTTCTGACAAGACAAAGACATATTTTGATATAGCTAAGCAAAATATATTCTTAGTAGAAATTCAAATTTCTACAAAAAGTTATCATAATACTTCTTTTTGAACAGAACCTTTAAATATATTTTTGATCTTGTATAAATTGAAATGAATTGAAGCGAACTCCAACTTGAAAAGAGGTAAAACTTTATATTTTTTGTAACATCATTAAGCTCAATAGTTAATAGATAACAAGCAGAATTCTATTTCACGAAGCCTGATCATGCGCGATAGAGGCAAACTATTATCCACGCTCTTTTATCTGGCTACAAAAGGACGTATTCAGAGCACAAATACTTAAAATTTTAAAGTTAAACCAACAAAACATCAAATATCAAGCGAGGAAATTGTTTCACCTTAGAGGAATTCAAAAGTCAATTATGTCGAATGAATCAATTACAGTTGATCTTTTCTTTTTCATTGTTATCCAAAAAATGAACGCCGTCCCTTTACATAAAAAGATATCTAAATGATTAAAATGTATGTGCAGGAGTAGGAATGAGTGCTTGCTGGTCAGAGAGCATTATTCATTTGCCAACCTCATCTGTAGGTTCGAATATTGTAAAGGATATTTTCCATGAGAGGAAATTATTACATATTACGGGATGATTGTGCATGTTCGCTTTTATTCAGAGAAGAGCTGCTATCAATAAAGTTTTTAAATATTCGTACTAATTTTATATTTACTGGATGATTGTAAATCCATTGAAATGAATGACATTGAATTAGTATTAATAGAAAAGTAAAGTTCAAACAAGTATAGTCATAATTATATAATTATTTACATAAAATAAATAAAGACGCTATTTATTCAAGAAAGTTTATTGCAACATTCATACATTTAAGCAGACATAATTCTTTGTTTTAACAATATGGAAAAGTCTATTTTAGTAGTACAGAACTATTAAAGAGCTCAGGAAGATACATAAAATAATTATTACTATAAATGACTGAAGTAATAAAATGGAAGCTTACTTTTTATTATTAATTTGCTATATCATTTTAAAAAATCATGTTATTTCAAAATTTCTTATGGTTGATTAAAACAAACAAAACAACAAGAGTTTAATTATTATACAATTTACTGTCCTTCATTATTATCTAACATTGAATAAGAGATTATTTTATTCTATTTTATTTATATACTATACTTGACGTTGTTATTTTATTCATAATTATGAACAGCACAGTCATATTTAAAATCCTTAACGTCACACAGGAAATAAAGTTTACAGGATTTTAACTCTTTTAAAAGACATCTTTGAAGGCATTAAAAATGACACCGGTTATTGCTGTAATAACGCCGAATCTGGACATGTATTTGACGGTTGCTCCATTGCAAAGGGTCGTATTGCAAAAACATCCAATGAACATTTTCATGTCATCGCACCTGTTTACACTTATATTTGGCACACAACCATAAACTGGCACTGAAAATGACAAATTAGTGAGAAAACATGCATTTGGATTGATAGTATTAACATGCCTGAATATATTATATGTAGTTTACATTATGTTAATTGTAATCTGAAAAACAAATAGTATAATCAGCTTCTTACGGAAGCATTTGTTACAGGCAGCTGTTAAGCTTCAGATTGTTTTCAAATAATAAATCGTTAAAAATAAAATTTTGCATTGAATTAATTTAAAATATATGCTTATGAATTAACGTGATTTATTTAACAAAAGTGCGAACTTGTGCACTAGATATAGAATATTCCAGTCTGTTTCATAAGTTAGGGAAAGTAGTTTCGGTTCATACTATAACACGTAATGACAAATTATCAATTCCCATTAAAACATTTCATGTCTTTCTTTACGGCTTATTGCTTTAATAGGGCTTCTTATAACTTTTTATAACTTTGAAAAAGCTACATAATTTACAGCGGAATGGCACGATGAATTTTGCCAGTATTAAAATTCATTGCAAAGTAAATAAAAACATTGACATGCATATGCTAAACAGTTTCGTTCCCATTTTCTTTTTTTTCTGTCTATTGCAAAAACATTTTTTTACATTTTTGTCCCTTCGAAGAATAATATTTTCTGATCTTCGAAAGCAAATAATGGATTGCTCGTCTGGATGTGGTTGTAAATTTCTTTTTTATATCAATCGTCAAGTAATAAAATTTACCCATATGGTTTGCCGACTTCCAGCAAGAGCCGTTGCAAGTGACATATAGGATATATATTCCTTCGTGTGAAAAGCAGGGTGGATCACATCCGTAGCATCGTAAGGCACTAACATGATGTACTTAAATACAATAAAAGTAAACGTTACTGATTATAATATGCAAAAAACAAACGCTGAAGACATCTAAAAGCGACGAATAACTAACTTTAGATCAGGTTTTGATTTTTGCAGGTTCTTGCGTGTTTTAAAGATCTCATTTTTAAAGTATATTTCATCAAAAGTTGACCATGTTTTGTGATTTATAGTTATATAAAGAATGAAAAAAAAACCAATAAAATTATAAACAATAACTCAAACTGCAAATGCAGAATTTTAAACAGTCAAATACAACCAAATAATATTAATTATAAAAACAAACGCAGGCTCGGTTTGATTTGGCCAGTTGATTGGTCGTAGTCATCGAAAATCACCAAACACAGGCTTCATTTATTTCAAATAATTTTTAAGGTATTTGTAGGTAAGTTAAAGAAGTTTCTTGATACAGTAGAGTATTCCCCGGCTTTGAAAGTCATTGTGCACCCTGAAATTTCGTATGAATTTCTGTAATGAACATTGTATAATGTTATAAATAACTCTTAGACATTCTCGATTTTAAGAATATTGCAAAAACGTTTAAAAAAAGAAAGAAAAAAAGAAAGAAAAAAACCCCATGACCGTGCGAGATCTTGCTAGTAAAAATTAAATCAAGAAAATTTATTATAAAAATGAGAATACTGTAACCCAACAAATTATCGCCATCAAATAAAATTCACTTCTTTTGAGGATGACAATGAAGCGCGGTAATAAAGTTTTGAGAAAAAGTCTGCAAATTTTCGCGCAATACCGGTAATTGGTGCAAAAATGCATTCCATGTGATCCTTTTTCTGGTTTGGTGGTTCCAAATTTACTCTTAGGATATCATGCCTGCCTTTCACTTTTGTCTTTTGACGTCTGTAACATGCAGGCTTTCGTTCACATTTGTCATTTCGGCGTCCTTTAATAAGCATTCTATTTCCCTCGATTTCATTGCTACATCAGCGTTATTTGCCATGGTTATTTAAATGTCTAAAAACATGCAAAGCAGGCAGTTTCGGAACAAGAATGATTGAGAAAAGAAATAGGATGGTAACATTGTCAAAAATTTGAAAAATCAATTTATCTCATTATCTAAAAAATAATGAAATAAAGCTGATTTCTGTAGGTGCGCAATTCGTGTTTCCATTTTACTTAATTAAAATCTCCACATCGCTGACTTTGAAAAGAAAATATGTCTACTTTTTTCAAATTTTAAGAGGCATGTTCGATACCTGACCACAGAACATAAATTGTATTCATAATTCACTTACAAAAATATCTTTCCCATTCGAAAACTACCGGATTTGCTAAACCAATTTCATTCGGAAAACGCAAAAATAAATATTCACGAATATGTCGAACCTCGGCAAAACACAAAATTCATATTCGTGAATTTAAATTGGGCTACAGTATTCATTAAGAAAGGTACAAAAAATAATGGTTTTGTGAAATTTATAAGCAATGATATTAGAGAAGATATGGTTCAAAGAAATTTGTGTAACGGCACAGGATACCATAAGTACAACGAATGACGGAATAAAGACGTATGACCGATGACTAAAACAAATCTTTGTTTAAATAATTATTAAGGTAACTAAAACATGCTATGCACATATCTTTCTTTTGCTGTTATTTTTATTATAACTTTAATAAGACGTTATATACTATGTTATTATGTTGCATTTGTCAAGATATTACAATGCTAATTTCAATTGACAAGTACAAATTTTTCTAATTTTATATTTTGGTTCACTTTTCTTTCTTTAAGTTATCTTTAAACATGTTACACACAAAACCGTTTTTGTGTCATTGTTAATTTACATACTAGTTTGACAAAAAAAAAATATTATTCTCACCACAAAATGTGAATAGACAAACTCCAATTAATATATTCATCTTAATATAAACTAATGTTAATCGGTAAAACTTGCAGAAACGTGTCCTTTAACTATTGTAACGATGTATTTCTATCATCAACGCCGTTTATCCTAAACTAACAAAATAGCGACACTCTGGACAGCAACAGATTGAAACACATTATTCACACTAGGCATGCTCAGCTAATAAGTACCGCCCCTTTGTAAAGATTCTGAAACCTGAAACATTATCAATATTGTTTTAATTTTTAATACATAATCTGGTAAATATACGAGTATGTTGTTTCTTTTTCTATTGAAACTGGAATCAGACGAGCGATAAGTGTTCACATGCTTCATGATAGCTAATTGCATGTTACAGCTCCTGTGTGGCAGGAAACACAAAATCATTGACATGACCAAACGCTTTTCTTAATTAAAGGGCCATGACGCGGACAAAAATCATTCGCGCTACCAATCATTCCAGTAAAGTTTCATTGAAATAGTGTTAGTAGTACAAGATAAGTACATATTTTATAGGCTAAAACAATTATGTTTCCTTTGTATAGTAATTTCTTTTGATTTAAAAAATAGTTTATGCAGATACTTAAAATAAATCTATTCATATTGGAATCTTTTTAAAATGTTTCCCAGGTATAATCTAGATTTTGTAAACTTTTTTAAAACTTTTTTTCTTCAATATTTATTTACATTTTTGAGATTGTAAATTTCTTGAAGAACATCATAACATTAAAGATATCAAGTCAATTTCAATCTAGCTTATCTTACTGTCAGGCAGAATACTTCTTATGGATTACATAAAATCTTAAAATTTAAAAGTATGTATTGGAATTTTTTATTGTTATACATACAAACAGTCTGATTAAGAAATATGAGAAAATTGTTTAAAGTGACCATCAAAATCAAAACTTTTCTGTGACATGAAAGTGCATTTTTCTTTTTCTTTTTTCCTTCGTTTTTATCACTACAAATGTAAAATGTTCAGGATTCAGTATATCAGGGAAGGGGGATGTCACGGAATTAGTACTAGGCTTAACTATACATGTCTACATAACGAACCTGTCGCCGTCGGTCATGCGTATGGATTCGTGATTACTTCTCACTATAGGGTAATTGTACTGAGGCATGGCGGATGGCGATTGGTTTGTTCTACAATGATACGCAACGGATTAAAAAAGTCCCAAATGGTAATTAGTTATCCGTTTTTAATTTTGTATTGCAAGCTAATGCTCATTCTATTAATGTTTAAACGTACGCTAAACTCCTTGATCAGTTTTCTGATGGTATCCGTTAATAATGTTAGCTTTTCTTCTGTACCTGTAGGTTTAACCGTGTGCAAACTATTTGAAACATACAGTATGGAAATGAATACGACTATTGATAACTATCTTAGCCCCGAGCTAATATTCGAGTATGACACTCATCTATTGCTGTTCTGAAGTGAAGATATTGAAAACAATCCGGGTCAAGGCGAATCTTATGATGGTTGTCTATCTATCCTTAGTCAAAATATAAGAAGCATTAGGAATAAGTTAAATTGTCAAAGATAACTTGCTTGATTTTGATATGCTTTGCTTCACAGAGACACATCTTAATAATGTAGTGTCGAACGACGATAATAAACTAGATAATTTTTCCACGTTTTACTGTAAAGACGGTACACGTCATTCTTGCGGTATACTAGTATATGTTTCAGACCAATTAATCTTGGAACGAAAATTTGAAATAGAGGACTATTAACAAGAATCACTTTGGATTGAATAAAGAAATAAACACACTTAACAACTTATTTGTAATGTTTATAGACAACCAAATGACCCCGTCGAATTTTGGAATAAAATGAATATTTGCTTAGAAAAAAACCGTGGGAATGTAAATGAAGATCAGTTGAACCTTAATAATCACAGGTTTAATGATGTTTTAATATTAAACGACCTTTAGAATATAATAAGAGAACCGACTCGAGTAAATTCAAACTCCTCAACTTTAATTTGACCCAAAAGCAATCAGTAATAATATACATGTTTACAATTCTGGAATAATTCCCACACTGTGCGACATCAGTGACCATTTTGGAACCTACCTGTTTACCAAATATATATAAGAAGCATGTAAAACATATAAAAGACGTGTATGGAACTATAATAGAGGAAATTTTAAGGATTTTGATAACCTCATACAAAATAATGATTGGTAATTTCTTAATTTAAACTCAGTACACGAAGCCACCGAATTGTTTACTTCTAGTATTCTTACTGTTTACCAAATATATATAAGAAACATGTAAAACATATAAAAGACGTGTATGAAATTATAATAGAGGAAATTTTCAGGAACTTAATAACCTCATACAAAATAATGATTGGTAATTTCTTAATTTAAAACTCAGTACATGAAGCCATCGAATTGTTTACTTCTAGTATTCTTAGATTAGCCGAAAATTGCATTCCATCACGATTAGTAACTATTCGATCTAATGACCTACCGTGGTATGACTCAGTAATTCGTAGAACTTCCAGACATCGTGATAGCTCAAAGAAAAAAGCAGTAAGAACTAATTCGATATTTGATTGGAACGCTTTCAGACATTGAAGAAACAAAGTCAATAATGAAAAAAAAAAACATGCTAAAGAAAAATGTTTTAGTAATATTGAGTATTAGTTGGAGGAGGCAAGTGTAAATGATCCAAATCTTATTGGAGAACAGTTAGTTATCAATTAAAGAAAATTCAAATGCGTTTAATTCAATACCAACCTTTTAAGTAGATGAAAAAATTGTAATTAACAACATTATGAAACTGATGCCAAAAAAGGAAATTGCTTAAACGAATATTTTATATCAGTGTCGCATATTGATACAACTTCCACTAAACTTCCTGTATTTGTTCAAAAATCAAACAACGATATTGAAACCTTTTACAATTACTTACCAAGAAATAATTGATTTATTGTCGAAATCACCTGCAAACAAGGCAGTTGGACCGGATGATATTAGTCATAAAATTTAAAAGAAACAAAACTAACTATTTGTAAGCCATTATGTATTTTAACTAATAGATCTCTTCGAGAAGGTGTTTATCTTAATATATGGAAATTTGCAAAAGTTAAGCCCCTTTTTAAAAAAGGAAATTGAAATACTCCTTTTAATTATCGCCTAATATCATTAATTAGTTGTGTAGGTAAAGTGATGGAGCGTGTAATCTTTAAACATATTTACAACCATCTACATTCAAATAATTTGATATATCCCTTACAGCCACGTTTTCCCCGGACTTTCAACTATTTATCAACTAAAAGACATTTGGCATCAAATTTGCGAATCTTATGATAAAAAGCTATCAACCTGTATTAATTTTTGTGATATATCAAGAGCATTCGACAGGACATGGCATCAAGGTCTGCTTTTTAAACTAAAACAATATGGTATTGAGGACCAGCTTCTCAGTTGGGTTACTGAATATCTCTCTTAAAGGAAACAACCAGTCTTTATAGGCTCTGAACCATCTTCCATCCTTAACATATCTCAAGGCGTCCCTTGGGCCTCTATTGTTTTTGATTTACGTCAACGGTATTGCTGAAAACTTACACTCTATTACTCGTCTTTTTGCAGACGACAGCTCTTTAGCTGTTTCTTCAAACAATATCGGTTTCATCAAAACAACTTTACTTCGTGACCTTAATATCATTAATAAATGATCTTATCAATGGCTGATGAGTTTCAATCCCAATAAAACTGAAGTTATGTTTTTCTTCAAACACAAATCCAAAGCCAATGTTATTCTTTAATGACAATCATCTTGACTTTGTTGATCACCATTAACATTTAGGCTTGACAATTTCTCATGATCTCAAATGGCATGAACATATCGAAACAATAATGTTATCAGCGTCAAAAGTTTTAAGTACAATGCGTGCATTAAAATTCAAACTTAAACGATTTTCTCTAAATAAAATATGCATCTTTTACATGCGTCCGAATACGCCTCAGTAGTGTGGGACTGTTGTGCATTAAAACGAAAAGCAGTCTCTTTAACAATTGCAATACGAAGCTGCGCTCGTCGTTACTGGGTTAACTAGGTCTGTTTGATAAAAGAAGTCGGCTGGGTATCTCTTTCAGACAGACGTAAAATTCAAAAGTTAATCACTGTTTACAAAGCAAAAAATGGCCTTGTCCCTCATTATCTTGAAGATCTCTTCCCAAGTACTGTCTAGTTTCGTTTAGTTTAAAAATATTGTATTCCTTTCATTTTTTTTACAATATGTACAATGCAATTATATAGAAAGAAAAATATATAAATACATTTTGAGAGATAAAGGGTTGGACCACAAGTTCAAATAACATTAATTTAGTAAGTCGGTCCGTCCCTATTACGAATATAAAAATATTGATACTATAGATTACAATAAAATGGCATTGAAGAATATAGCAAAGTACGTACATGTATTTTAGAGTTCTTTTGAAAGTCGCAATTGATCGCCCGTCCCTATACTACTCCTCCAATAAAAACCCTGCACCAATAGTGATGAAACAATACAGGAATAATCCTAGAAAATTCCCGGAATAATCCCAGAAAATTCCCGGAATAATCCTAGAAAATTCCTTTTGAAAAACTCATTTTGTTGCGATCTGCTGAACAAGATGACCGCCATAACCAAGAATAACCTTTAAACGACTTATTTGGTAGAATTTGATGAAAGCTGTACATGAATGAACAAGATGGCCGCTAGAATTAAAATCAAAAAGTGTTAATTATATTGAGTCCGCAGTTACACAGAATATGTTGATGAAACTTTACAAAAAGGTAATGACATTAACCGTGTCAAAATTTTTATGATTATAATAATGATTTGACACATACTGTTGTGTAAAAAATGAATAATTACACATTTGTTTGAATACATCTTATGTGTAAACAAATTCGAGCTGAATTATTGAATGATAATGCTTAGATGATTTGTACATGTACAATATAGTAAAATGAAAAAGAAATTCTTCTTCTGTATTTCTGAAATAATTACTGGTATACTCACCGTAGGGAACGTGCTACAGTATCGCTTTTTTTCGGTTACAGTATAGAATTTTCAAGATGGAGGATTATTTATGGGAAGAGAGGTAGGTGATTTTTATTCAGGTCCATACTA